GACTGAGAGTTCTTCCCCCTAGATCTTTTCCCAAGTTCTAGTTCCTGCGAAGTCGCAGGCTGACTCCATGTCCCATTCTGCAGGATGGGACTGCATGCTCTGGTAGGAGACAGTGGAGGGGGGGCGGGGGAGAGGGTCACCTGCCAAGCCACCAGAGAAGATGCAGTTCTGGAAAGAGTGGCAAGGAGGCAGGGCTGGTATGGTACTTGATGAGGGTATGTCTTGGGTATGGGCCTGTGGAGCTTCTGCTCCATCCAGCCTGGGGAGAAGGGCTGCCTCCATGGAGAAGGGCTACCTGAGGACCCTTGGCCCGCAGTCTTGAAGCCTGCCTTCCTTTCCCTTCTCCCCAAGACATGTTTGACAAGACCAAGTCGGGCCGCATCGATGTCTATGGTTTCTCAGCCCTGTGGAAGTTCATCCAGCAGTGGAAGAACCTCTTCCAGCAGTACGACCGGGACCACTCAGGCTCCATTAGCTACACAGAGCTGCAGCAAGGTGAAGGCCGTGGCAGGGATGTGCACACAGAGCGTCTCTTTATTCCCTAAGGGAGAGCAAGGGCTCTTCTCCTGCCTCTGACCACCAAATGCCAGCTGCACTGCAAAACACTGCCTGCCCCTTCTGGGCCCTGGCTGGGGCTTTGAGCCAAGACCCAGGGCAAGGGAGCGCCTGGGTCCAGGATTAGGGCGGGGCTCCAGGTGCTGGGAGCCCTGTAGTGCTGGGTGAGACAGGCTGAGCCCTCGGGGAGCCTTGGGGATGGAAGCGGAGTAGCCCAGGGTACTGTGGGACTCTTTTTGCTCTGGTTTCTGGCATGCAGAATGGAAAGAGCCCCATATAGGGGCCCAGAAAGATGGCCTCTGTTACTGGCTCTGCCAGAAGGCAGTTACCTTCCCGACGCTGGGACCCAAACCACTCTAAGTATTGCAGGTGGGGAGGGTGCCCTGAGGCCACGGTCCTAGGTCTGCTTCCAGTTCTGACTGTGAAGGGTGGGTGGTGAGCGGGGTCATGAGAACCCAACGCAGAGCTTTGCCACCTGGGAGGGAGAAGCGTTCCCCAGCAAACCCAGCCCCTTGTCCAGGCCATGGATTGGGGGATATTATCACAACAAAACTAATATTTATGGAATGAATGCTGGCCTTGTGCCAGGCACTGTAGTAAGACTTATATAACATGTCACATCATTCATTCTCCCCACGTGATAGATACTGTTTATTATTCACCCCCCAAGCCCCCACTTAGATGAAGGGTTCCTTGGGATTGTCCTTTTATGGATGAGAAAGCTGAGGCTTGGGCTACATAACATGCTCTTGGGCCACCCAGCAGCAGGGGAAGTGAGACGAGGCCAGGCTGGTAGGTTGTTCGGGAGGGAGGAAGGAAGCCTCTCGGGTGGGACATCGGCAGTGGCACGTAGGCTGTGACCTTGGAACTGCCCAGCAGCCCCGCCTGGGAGGTGAGCATGATTTCACTTACTGTAGCGACACTCGCTGAGTGCCTGTTATGTGCCGGGCACTGTGCCAAGGGCCGTGCGTGAGCTTTCATCCTTACTGAAACCTGAAGGTTCCCACTTAGACCTGATAAGTCAGAGGATGAGTGAGCTGCAGCTCACTGCAGGGGCTCACTGGTGTGGGGGGGCTGTTTTGCCTCCAGAGCAGGCCGAGAGACCCCTGGGCTGTGCTGCCTCTGCTGTCCACTCCGGTCAGGGTGGTCAGTGGGGCTCAGGCTTCCCTCCGTAATGCAGGCGGGTCAGAGAAGTGCGTGGGTGGCCCAGTGTCATTCTGGGGCCCTGCCTGAACAGGTAGTGAGGGAGATTTGGGGAAAGATGAGGCCCTCCAGCTCAGGGGAGCATCCGGACAGAGCCCTGTTGCACTGTGCTACCCTGGACAGGCCCTCGGGACTTCTGTCCCCTTTCTGCTTTGGTGTTACTCCCCCGAAGTCCCCTGAAGGGCTGGCCGGTGGCCGTGCTCATGACAGGTTTGTGTCTTCTCTGTGTGCTTCCTCTCCAGCTCTGTCCCAGATGGGCTACAACCTGAGCCCGCAGTTCACCCAGCTCCTGGTCTCCCGCTACTGCCCGCGCTCCGCCAGTCCCGCCATGCAGCTAGACCGCTTCATCCAGGTGTGCACGCAGCTGCAGGTGCTGACCGAGGCCTTCCGGGAGAAGGACACAGCCGTGCAGGGCAACATCCGGCTCAGCTTTGAGGACTTTGTTACCATGACAGCTTCTCGGCTGCTATGACCCAGCTTATCTGTAGAGAGTGGCCTGCTCCGGGGGGCCTCCCCTGGCTCTTCAGGGTGGGAGAAGCACGTGGGCCTCTCGTCTTTTCCTGCCCCTTGTAGAAAAAGATTCTCCCTTGCCTGATGCAGCACTGCTCCCCAAGAGGGCTGTGTCATAGCCACCAAGTAGTGGGGTCCTGGGCCAAGGCCACCCAGGTAGGGTCCTGACCTAGGAGAGGACTGGGAATTAAATGTCCTCACAGCCCTGAGCATTTAAGTGGCACAGCCTTGGTGCAGGAGATGCCAGTCATTGTAACAGAGTTTGTGTCCAAGTAAACTGGCTGGGCTCCAGCTCCAGCTCTCTCCCCTGTGCCCCAGCCCCAGCGGTAAGTGCCATCGGCCTCTTACCGTTACAACTGTGTCCCCTTTCCCATGCTGTCCTGTCAGATGAAGCCAGTCTCTTCAAAGTGGACTCTGACCAAGCATGAAAGAGATTTACCCAAGGGACCCGTGGCTTGGATTCCACACCCCGTGCCCACAAGTCCGTGCGGGTTAACTTCTAGCTGCGGGGAGCTGTCCTGCTCGGAGGGCTTGGGCGGTCTCTTCTCTGGCATCGTGGGCCAGGCTCCTGCGCTCCGCAGCTCGGACCCTCACTGCCCACCATTCTCCACTTGGCTGCAGTGCCCAGGGCACGGATGCCACTTCCCACTGCCAATGCCCTTCTTGTTGTCTTTTTTTTTTTCCGTTGGGGGCCAAAAGTTCAGTGAAACTGTAAGCTTCAATAAAAGATCAAACTTCCACATTCTCCACTCTGCCTTCCCAGCTACAGGTTTATATGCTCATCCATTCAGTTGTTCATTTATTCTTTCATTCAGCAAATACGTAAGTGCGTACTGCATGCCACGCCCTGCAGAAAGAAGCCGCTGTGGGGGACGTAGCCTGCCTGAGGCTGCTGTCATTTACAGGGTGAGGCTGAAAGGCGGGGGGCTGGGCTCAGCTCAAGGACCCGATTGTGTGTTTCGTAACAGTTTAGGGATGGCGTCCTGGGCTGGAAGCAGCCATCCTAGAAGTCGGGCCTCTCCATCACCTCAAGCCCTGGGTCTGCCGTCCAGACGAGCTGTGCAGCTCCCCACCCCCCACTTCCAGTTCACACGGATGCCTGCCTGCCTGCTGCTGCTCCAAGTGGCTTGGTAGCCAGTCCCCTCCGCGTGTCGTGAGCTGACAAAATTTCAGTCAGAAGCAAAGACACCAGTCATTCTGGTTCACCTGGGGGCCTTGTGACCGGTAACAATGTGATAATCCTTTCACTTTGGGGGTGACGGTAAGAACTGCAGACCCTGGAGGTTGTCAAACCGAGGATGGTTGGGAAAGGAAGCTGGCTGTTCCAAAGCTCCTGAGGCTCAGTGGGTCAGTCCCATTCTCTGTAGACTGGCCGTGGAACTGCGTGGGATCAGTTCCCAGAGGCCAGCCACCGCCCAGAGCTGGAGTCCCCTCCTCGGCCCCACTGCGAGTCCACCCTCTGCTCGACAACCTCCAATAACAGAGCTCCGTGCGCTTCCAGGCAACCCACTCTGCATGCCGGCCCTCGGTCCCGGAGATCTGCCACCACGCTCCCCGCAGCTCCTCGCCGAGCACCCCTCCCCTGGTCACGCTGGTCACCTCCCCAGGATTTTCTCCAGTTCACCTGAGTCTGCCACGTGGAGGCCTGAGCCTCACTGTGGCACGGGGTTCAACTGTTGCCCCGTCGGGAGAAGCTTCTACTGTTTCTTTGTTCCCGCTGAGCCAAGTGTCTCTGGAAACCACCTTTAGAACGGCACCTGTCGTGATCTCAGCCTTGTGGTCTGCTGGGGCTGGGGGGCCCAGGACCTGGGTTGGTCCTTGTGGGCATGGTTGGTTCTGAGCTTGGGGCCCGCCCGCACACCTCATTCTGCACACCGCACCTCCAAGCCTGGCTACAAACCTGACAAACAGCTTTGGATCCTGGGGCCAACCAGGAGTGTGAAGTGGGCAGGCCAGGCCACACTTGCACATCTGTGGAAATGTCCACGAGAGCAGGGCTGCTGAGTCCTCTGGGGAGGGATGGCAGACCACACCTTCCACCTGCCTTGGTGTTGCCTAAGAGGAAGGGTGCTTGCGCTTTCCTGAGCCGGGCCCCTGGCAGGACCGTGGCTTTGCCCCGCTTCCTGCCTGGTGAGGTCACAGGGAGCCCGAAGCTTCATTAATCAGGTTAAGGGGACCTGGTGGTGTGCGCGGCAGGCTGGTCTCTGCCAGGTGTCTCGCCCCTCTCAGTGGAGCAGTGATTCAGACTGTTCTCCCGCTCTGGCAATGAGGATCAGGGCCTCTGGCAGCCCCCTAAGCATCTCAGCGGCAGACGAAGCACATCTAGCCAAGTCTGTGGCTTTCTCTCTTTATTCTGTGAGTTCATAGAGAGTAAATGTGAGCCCTGATTTCCGAGAAGAAGATGATGATAATAAGGCAGTCTGTTAACTCTGCTGTCTGGCCCCCTTCCCCCACTTGCCTGGGCCCGTGAGCACACAACTGTGTCCAGGATTGAGGTCCCGGGCATTGGAGAACTGGCACCGCCTGCGGAAGCAGCACCTCCTGTGCTCCGAGGCCGGCGAGGAGCCGGTCTGGGAGCCAGCACGGGGGGTCGGGAGGTGGGTGTAGTCAGCAGACAACAGCGCCTTGTCTCCCCGCCGCCCTCACACCGACTTCCCCACCTTCCTCACTCCTCACCTAAGCAGCACAGATATTGTGCAATGACGAGGAAAAGGAACATTCAGTGCCGGGCTTTTAATTACCATTGCTCTGGGCTGCTGGCCTCCACAGCGAGTGGTCACAGGGAGAGGGTTTTATCACACCACAAAGCCAAAGGGATCCAGTCTGCTGTGCGGACACTGGGCACCTGGTGGGGGTGGGGCTGTGTTCCCTCCAGGGGAAGGCAGGGTCCTGATTCCTTACGGGGGTAGCATAGAGGGCTGGCTGAGGGCAGCCTGGGCCTTGGGGAGTCACTGGGCCAGATGGAGATGCTGCTGGGCCCTTCTAGCCGGCTCCAGGGAAGGCCTGGGATTGGGTAGGAGAGGGGTCTTTGGGAAGAAGGCCAAGCTCTGGACAGACGATTGGGATCCATGCACTGTGAGGTGTAGCCCAGTGAGAGGAGTGCAGTGATAATCTTGCTCACAACACTACCGTTTACAAAGAGCTTTCTGCTTTCTTGCGCATGCGTAACCCTTACATCAGTCCTGTTTAGGGGACGCAGCTCAGAGAAGGGATGTTACTTGCTCAGAATCAAACAGGTGAAAAACCAGAACAGGAGCCCTGGCTTGGAGCTGCATTCAGCGGTCTCCGCAAGGAGTCAGGTCAGGGCTGGGCCCCAGGAGCCAGAGGAGCAACCCGGGCAGGGAGCAGGTTGCACCCCTCGGAGCGGCCAGGGTGGCCCTGGCTCAGGGAAGCACTGTGGTGACGCTGGTCAGGACCACGTGCTCTGAGACTTTGGAGACGGAACACCGACTCTGCAAGGACAAGGATTTGTGCCTGGCAGGGGAGCGGGGGCTGGGGGCCTTCAGAGAGCCACAGGGACCCAGGCTGGGCAGGCAGCAGGAGAAGGCGGCTTTAAACTGCTCCCGGAATTTGCCTTGGTTGGGGGACAGAAGACACAGCCGTAAGCAGACAAATACCGCAGTGAGAAGGAGCCTTGGGCCCTGGGCCGCCCACGCAGCTCAAGCCACGCTGCCTGTGCGGGGCCAGGAGGGAAAGGTAGAGCTGGATGGAGAGAGCCCCAGAGCCACCTCGTCACTGCCAGGGAGAGAGGACAGAGGCCCCGGAGCAGGTTCCCCAGGAGAAATGTGATTTGTATCTGATTCCTTGACTGCGCTCTGGCACTGAGCCCGGCGGGTCTAAACGTGGTGTCTGGCTCCGGGGCCTCAGATCATCTCTGCCCTGCTCGGTGAGTAGGTGGAGTGAAGGCTCGCCCAGGCTTTCCCCATCTCCGTCCTGTGGCAATGAAAATGCTAGCAGCCCTCACACCAAGCACTGCGCTGGGTGCCTCAGCACCCTGAGAAGCTGGGGTCCTTCATCTTAACTTCAGAGACGGGACACACAGCTGTGCAGTGGCTTGCCCAAGGTCACCCACCGAGAAGTTCTAACCCAGCCCGGTTCTAACGCTGAAGCCCTTAAAGAACAAGAGAGAGTGGGGAGGTGGGGCTCCCACAGCCACCTTGTTCAGCCAGAGGATAGCAGGGAATCATTTTATGTGGAACTGAAACCTCATGTCCCAGCATTCCTGCCAACTGTCCAGTGCCCAGCAGAGGGCCATGCACACAGTAGGCACTCAGTAAATGTAGACCAAATTGAGGAATGCAGTGTGTCCTCTGCTGCAGAGCGCATCTCTCCTGTTCTCTCCTCCAAGCTGGAAACCCCTAGCCAGCCTTCACTGGATGATTCTGGAGTCTCACTGAGGGTTATAATATTGACCCCTCAGTGAGGGGTCACTTTCAACATCTCTCGAAGATTATTTGTGTCCAGGCTTGAAGAGTCAGCTGGAACTTGTCCGAGTCAGAGAGCTGGTGAGTCATACTTTTGCTGGGCTGCTGGGGGTTGGGTGAGGGGCAGGGGGGCAAGACCCCCTGAAACAGAGGCAGAGGGAAGGTGGGGGAACCGTGGGACAGAGGCGAGGAGGCCTGGATTTCCAGAGAGGCCAGGAGTGGGACTGGTGCTGGAGGAGGCAGATCTAGAGATAGACCCCCGATTCTGGCCCCTCTGCTGGTGTGTGTCCAGCAGGGCATGGGGAAGCCCTCTCCCTCTGCGGAGCTGCCTCTGCCGGGCACTCTCCCTTATCCCCGATGCCTCTATTATGTGGTCACCCCTCAGGCCTGGCTCCCACGGGAGCCCATGTTGACTGGGCAGGCTGATGGGAGGCCCTGTGGTGCATGTACCTGGCAGGGGTGGAGGTGAGCTGGCCTAGCTGCTGCCCTTCCCACCCGCTCACTGGTCTGCATAATCTGCAAAACTGGAGCCTAGGTTCTGGGCAGATTCCTTTGGCCGCAGCTAGGGGTGTGGCTGGCCTCGGGCTCAGACCAGGGCTCCGATCAGGGCTCCTGGGGGTGGGGTTCCACCTCCCCCCTGAGTGGGAGTCACCGGAGCAAAGCCAAGATTCCCAGGAAGGAGCACCTATCTGGTCCCCTGCCATCTTGCATTGGGGATGGAGAGATGGGTGTCCTGGGGACTGTTGCTGCCCTCCGTCACCCCGCCTGCCCGGCCACTCACCGCTGAGGAAGTTGTAGATGATGGGGTTGGCGGCGCTGTTGGCGTACACCAGCCAGTGGGAGAAGGTGAAGCAGGCGTAGACGGCTTCTCTGTCGCTGGCCTGGTGGAACATCCCGAACACCCTGGGGCCGGAGGGGGGAACAGTCAGAGAAGGGGCAGCTCCGACCAGTGTGGCTCAGTGGATAGTGGGTCATCCCGCAAACTCAAAGGTTGCGGGTTCGATTCCCAGTTGGGCCACATGCCTGGATTTCGGGTTTGATCCCAGTTGGGGCACTTATGAGAAACAACCAATTGATGTTCTCTCTCACATCGATGTTTCTCTCTCTCCTTCCCCTCTGTTTAAATAGAGAGATAAAAATCTTTTTTAAAAAAAAGAAATGGGGCAGATGCGTGTGTGTATTTGTGCGGTGTTGCTCACAGAATTCAAGACACAGGCTGTAAAGTGACAGCCACTGCCCCTTCCACCTACCCCGGGCCTCTGGGTCTGGGGTCTTGACCACTGTTTTGGGTTCTTGAGCACAGAGCGTGACCAGGGTGGGCCTGGGGACAGGCACAGGGCACATCTGCTCGGTCACCGGCCATCTGACCCCCGGAGCTTCCCCACCCATGTTCTCACCCACCCTCAGGGCAACACGATGAGTCACCGCCACTGTCCACTTTCTCAGACAGGAAAACCGAGGCTCAGAGGAGTAAGGGACAGGACGGCGATCACTCAGCCAGGCAGTGGCCCGGTACAGAGGCACGTGGGACTGTCTTGCTCTTTCCCTGAACCCCGCGCCCCCCCCCCCCCCCCCCCCTGGGCTGGCCAGGCCGCCCGGCCCCTTCCACTCAGTCTGCTCTTCCTCCTGCAAGGCTCGGCCCCTCCCTTCAGTCTCTGCCAAAGGTCACTGCCTCCAAGAGGCTTTTATTCCTTAACCCATTATATATTTTTAAGATTTTTTAAAAAACCATCTGTCACTGTCGCTGTCTACCTACTTTCCCTATTTTATTTTCTTCATAACAGTTGCCACCGCCTGGTATGCTAACGTAGTTTCATTCCTCCTCCCGCAGGATGTGGCCTCCTTGTGGTGGGGACTCTGTCCTGGGCGCTGTCTGTGTTCCCAGCCCTGGGAGGCACTGAGGCTCAGAGAAGACAAACGACCTGCCTTGGGGTGGAGCCAGGTCTTTCTCCGGAGCAGAGAGGGCTCCTTCCTCCGACAGCACACCCCCTCACCCCTGACCTCTCCCCGAGGGCTCTCACCTCTTAAGGACATTGAGGACGCTGATGGGCAGGTAGCAGAGGGCAAAGACCAGCAGCACCACCATCAGCATCTTGGCCGTCTTCCTCCGAGCACGCATCTGCTTCACCTCGGCCAGGAAGGCCCGGGCCCGAGGCGGGGGCTCTGTGCCCTGGTCCTGCCCCTGCCCCTCCGACTGGTCTGAGGGCCGCTTCCAGTTCCTCACCAGGGCCGACGTGGTGCCGGGGATCTGCCCAGCACAGACAGAGGCAGAGGTGCTGGGAGGAGCGCCTTGGGAAGTCAGTCCCCTTCGCTGGGACCCACTTCAGGCTGCACCCCGGGGCAGGTGGAGGTGGGTGAAGGGAATAAACCCTTGCAATAGGAAGGAACCTAATATTCATGATAGAGACCAACACTCTGGACTGAGGGTGAACAGCCTACCTTCATTCTCCATTAGCTCACTAGTGGAGAGACCACCCACTAGTCACGCACTATGTGGGTGAGACCACCCACAACGTGCCTTTGGAGAAGGTGTCACTGGCCCTCAGTTACAGATGAGGCAACTGAAACCCAGGGAGGCAGGGGACCCTTGGCAACATCCTCCCAGCACCCAGATCACCCTTTCCATCTGGCGGGGGTCGGGTGGGGGCGAGTTGTGCTTCCGCCTGGCCCACGCCTGCCTGTGGGGAAGCCTTGGCAAGGGGTGAGTGAGCAGGTGAGTGGCATGGAAGGGCCTGGGCCTCAGAGCACAGGTCCCGGCCCTGGTTGGTCCCATCAGCCTGTGATGGTTCCGGGCTCCTGGAGCAGCCACTGATTTCCTCAAAGCCTCTCCCACCACTGGACTCCTGAATCACCCCATGACAGGGCATGAGGCTATAGAGTCCAGGAAACTTGGGGTCTGGGGCCGGCTCAGCCATTCGTGAGCTCTGTGACCTTGGTCAGCTCACTTTCCTTTTGAGAGCCTCAGTTTTCCTGCCTGTCAGGTGAGGAGAGGGACTGCTGCCATCTTAACCGGGGGCTGCGTGTGCTGGCGGGCACGAGGCTGCCCACGCTCTGGCCTACATGCTCTGGCTGCACAGGCACTGGCCTGGGACTTGCTGCTGTGTGGCCAAGGGCCTCTGCGCAGCCCCCCGCCCCCACAACACATCCCACAAAACCTGCCGTGGGTCGTTGTGTAATAAAGAAAGCAGGCCCTGGAGCCAGAAGGGCCCTGCCACTCTCTGGCTGTGGCAAGCTGGTTGCCGTTACTCAGCGTCTGTAAAGTAGGTAGCAACGCGGCTTTGGTGAGACAGTTGTGAAAATACTGTGAGCAAAGTGTGTGATTGGCAAGCAACATGGAGGCGCTGTGGTGTTGCAGCATTGAACTGAGCACGGGATCCCACTGATCTCCGTCTGAGTCCCTGACCTTCCCCTCCGTGGCTGAGGGGTTTGGGGAAGTCGCTTTGCCTCTCTGGGCCTGTTTTCTCATATATCAAGTTGGGAGCAATCTGTGGTGGCTAAGAGGATGCAAGACAAGCTGGAAGTGTGTGGTACAGTCGATGGCAGCTACTGACAGTATTCAGTTCCAGGGTCAGCTCCAGCACGTTAGGCCTTGAGTTTGAAAGTCCCTGGGCCCTGCCTCTCTCTGGTTGCAACCAGGATGGCGTGTTCTGAAGGCAGAGGGCTGTCTATTCCCTTAGACCAGTACCCTATCCCCTCCCAGCCCAGACATTGACACCAGTGTGGGCCTTACCTGACGCCCCCAGAGCTTGCGGAAGATCTGGAAATACGCCATGGCCATGAGACCCAGCGGGGCCAGGTAGGTGACAACGAAGAAGCAACTGTGGTAGATCTTGGGATAGAGGTCATCTGCAGGGGCCAAGAGATGCACAGGTTGGGCCCCCCGCCTGTCCTGCTTAGCAATGCCACCCAGCCCCAGCTAGGGCCAAAGCAAGCAGCTGGGCCACATATAGGCACCACGGCAGAGAGACACGAGTTGCCCACTCTGAGGACGTCCATCCTGGAGGGATCCCCACTAGAGTGACCCGCCCTGAAGGTATCCTGGGTAGGTGCCCGCTCTAAAGTGTCCTCTCAGGAGATACTCCCCTGGGTGTCCCAACAGATGCCTGCCCCAGGGGAACATGTCCCAGAGATGCCCACTTCAGGAGGGCCTGCCGAAGGCTGGCGCCATTACCTACCTGCCCAGTGTTCGTCGCAAACCGAGAAGAGCCGGGTGCGGTTGGCCAGCTCCGGCAGCACACTGCTGCATTCCATGACAGCGGCCTGGGGCACCATGACAGCCAGCGACACAGCCCAGATCCCCAGGATGGAGCCCCGGGCACGCCGGGCAGTGCTCTTGAACAACAGTGGGTGGCAGATGGCATACCAGCGGTCCAGGGCGATGAAGCTGAGAGTCAGCACTGCCACTGACACAGACACGGCCTGCCCCGGGGAGACACCGTGTCAGTCCTCCTGGGGGCCACCCAGAGACACGGAGTGAGTGAGGGGCTCTCGGCCCAGAAATGCCAGGAGCCAGGCGCAGTGCGCACGCTGGCTCTGCTTACTGGCTGTGTCGGTTTGGGCAAATCACTCACCCCGTCAGCCCCACCTGCGGAGTGGGAAGATACCATCCACCCGCAGGAGCCTCATAAAAATAAATGCAGCCAGAGAGAGAAAATGTCCATCTCGAGGCCTGGCACAGAGTAGGTGTCCCCGGCCGTGACTAACAGCCTGCACTTGGGGAACTCACTGCATACCACACGCGCTCATTCTCATCACCCTGACAACCACGCCATGAGGCAGGGACTCTCACCCCATGTTACAGATGAGGAAACCGAGGCTCAGAAAGGTTAAATACCTCACCCAGGGTGATTTTCCTCCACTGCCTGTCTTTGTTCTCGGGGTTGCTAGTGCTAATCAGTTGAGTGGAAAACCTCAAAACAGTGGGGACTTGAAGAGGCATTTCTCTCTGCCCTGGGAGGCCATCCCTTCCCCAGGCTGTTGGGAAAGAGCCCTCATTCTGGGAGGCAGGGATGCGTGGAGGCCTGCGGTGAGCACCGCCTCCAGGAGAGCCCCTGCCCTCTGGGTTAGAGGGAGGGGGTCAAGGGAGGCAGCGCAGGGGACATTCAGGCCTCTGGACACCCTCTTTCCACCCACATCCCAACCCCCCTGAACATCCTGATTCCCAGTGCGGGTTGAGAAGGCCCTGGCAAGGGGTGGGGGCAGGGAAGGAGACTTTGTAGCAGGGCCTCTCAGCTCTGCCTTCCTCAGGATCAGGAAGCAGGCGGAGCGTGCGTTTGTGCCTGTCACTGTGGGCTTGCGCCTCTCTCCTCCACCGTGTGCCCTGTACCTAGAGGTGACTGTGCATGTGTCCACACGTGGCTGTCTGTTTGCGTGTGTGATGGGGGGAGCTCTGTATGAGTACGTGAGGCCGTGTCTGTGGCCTCCAGTGTAGGGCTGGATGGCCTGCCCTTGCTGACACTGGAGGATGACACCACACAGGTGCTGACTGAGCCACCGTGTCCTGTCTGAAAGGCAAGGCTGAGGGTCACTGAGACTTATGTAAGGCCAGTGTTTTTGTACATGATGTGGCGGCGGGGTGATGAGGGGCACTGGGCGGAGCTCACCTGTAGATAAGGGATGACCTTGCAGAGGGCGTGGCCAAACAGCCAGGACTCGGTGATGTCCACCAGCAGGCTGGCTGGCAGGCAGATGGCTGTCACCAGCACGTCCGCCAGGGACAGGTTGACAATGAAGTAGTTGGTGACGGTCCTCATGTGGTGGTTCCGCCACACGGCAAGACAGACTGCGGGTCGCGGTGGGGATGAGGGGAAGCCAGTGGCAGAGCCACGCCCCCCCCAGCACATCCCCACGGCACACTACCCAGGTAGAGAGAGTAGAGGTAGAGGCTGGGGGGCTGGGGAGAGACCCGAGGCCCAGGATTCCCTCCAGTCCCCAGGGGAGTCCCACAGCACCGCAGGGACACAGGGACCTACCCAGCGTGTTGCCCACCAGGGCCACGAGGAACACAGCCACATAGGCTGCGATGAGAACCCACTCGTATTGCTTCGGATACAGATAATCACGCCACAAATAGCGGAGAAACTCGTCTTCGTAGTAGTAGTTGGGAGGCGCTGGGGACGGGTCCAAGCTGCCAGTGGGGACTCCCGTCTGGGTCCCTGGGGTGGCCGAGGGCTCCATGAGCTCAGGAGCCGCTGTGGCCTAGGGGCATCCTGGGCTCCCGGGAGGGAGGGAGCCGGGCCAGGCAGGGCCTCAGCCCACTGCCCTCAGGGAGCCCGGAGTCTTGCACCGGGTCTTTTGGGGTTCCAGCCCCAAAGCTCCTCCTGAAGGAAGGGAGCAGGGAAAAGGAGACATTAGGGAGTGTGCCAAGAAATTTGCATATAAACTCCCTCTTAGTTCTCACAGTTCTGCGCTGTGGGTTACGGGGGAGAGGGACAGACCTCGCCCCGTTCAGCCTCAGTTTCACCATCTATTCGATGGGGTGATGACCACACCTACCTCACAGGACCTCAGGGGGGAGTAATGGGCTCTAAGGCGTGACTAGTGCTTTACCCAGAAGCTGGCTTCCCCATGATCAGAGACCCCTGCCTTGTGGAGGAGGAGATGGAAGCTCAGAGAGGTTGAATTCCTCACTCAAGGTCACAGAGCTACTGTGCCAGGTCTGTCTGGATCCACCAAACATCACGGATTTGAGAGGGGAAGTCATCCGATTGCAAATATTCTCCCCTGAATAGCAGTTCACAAGCCTGAATTTTTGGTTGAAAAAAAGGTCAAGAGAGGCTTTAGAAACGCAGGCCCGCCCACCGGACCTGCCAGACCCTCCCCGGCGGGGACACGCACACGGTGGGGGAAGGGTGCGGGGAGGAACTGACCACGTCTCTGGAAGTGGGGAGAGAGCCCGAGGCCCAGCCGCGGCCGGGACCGCTCACCCCCAGGGCTAGAGCCCCCTGGTGCACCCCGAGGCAGCGAAGCCCACCGGCGGCCGCCAGGGGTCGCTGGCGGCCGGCGCGCAGGACGCTCCCTCCATTCACAAATCCGGCCTCGCTCCCCGCCCCTCCGCTCTGGCTCGGACCCCTCCTTCTCCTCGCCTGGGCAGGGACGACCCTGGACTTGTGTAGGAGGGTTGCCCGGCCCTGGACACCCCTGCGAGAGGCGGAGGGGTCTCCTTCAGACCCCACGGAGCGTCGGCGGACCTACTCCCTGAGCGGGACCTCCCTGCACCTCCCGAGCTGTGAGGGGCTGCGGGGCGAGGGGAGGGGAGAGCGGGGCGCCAGGGGTTTTGCAGGAGCCTGCCCGGAGGAGAGCCTCCCGGGACTCAGCTTCCCGGCACCCAGGTTATCCCCCGAGGCTCGTGGCTCTGGCCGAGGGTCGTTTGAAACCCCCGCCCTGGGCCTGGGGTCCCCCGCGCCCCGCCCTGCACCTGTTGGCTCCGGGACGCCGGCGTCCTCGGTCGCTGATCCCGCGGACAGTGAACCGGGGACTTCGCCTCCCTGCCCCGAAGGCCGGGCTCCTGAGGGCGCTGAGGCTCCAAAGCGGCCGTGGCTGGCGCGGGATCCGCTGGGCTGCGCGCTGCCGGGCGGGGCGGCCGGGGCGGGAAGGGCAGGGCGGAGAGGGGAGCCCCCGAGGCCGGTCTCCTCTTCTCGTCTCCCAGCTTCCAGACCCGAGACCCGGAGGGCGGAGGGAGATGCCGGTGCCTCCTCGCCGCCCACTTCACGCTTCCATCCCACTTCCATTCATGCGTCCATCCGTTCATTCATACCTTTCGCATTCATTCAACATTTCGGCCTTTGCATTCAGAACACACCTACTGTGTGCCGGCGGGCCCTGCGGGTCAGCTTCGGAGAGGGGATCCCAGCTGCACCCCTGCTCGCTATCACCTAACTGAGGAGGAGGATGGCACAGGTGGGTCACAGGGATGAAGAGACGACGCTCGCACCGCCTCCGGCCAAGCGTAGGCTGCGACTGCAGCTGACAGTCGCCAGCGATGCCAGGGGCCCTGCGCCCCTTCCCAGCCCCCGTTCTATCTGCCCACCCCATCCTTTTTGTTTATACCTGCGTTCCCCCTCCCAAGACAGAGATGGTAGGTGGGGACAAGAAGCTGGGAGTCAGAGGGGCTGGTTGCTTCAACAAACATTTACTAAGCAGTGTGCCAGGCAATCAGCTACAATCACGCAGCTGCCATTTGTATAGTCCTGGCCATGCATGGTCTCATGTAACCAGTCTGGAAGTAGTTGTTATTGTACCCATTTTACTGATGAGAACACTGCCCGCCCTGTTTCAGCGACGTGCCCAAGGTCACACGGCAGAGCCACGGCTAGGATTTAAGCCTGTGCTTCTCTCCAGGTCTATCAGCCTCCTTGCCAGACAGAGGTGCCTGGGCTGGCAGGAGGCAGGTGAGCTCTCAGCCTGGCAAGTCCTCTGTGGTGTGAGGAGAGCTGTGAGGGGTCCCAGGGGGACGTGGGGCACAGAAGGACAGACTGATCTAGCCAGAGCATCAGGACAGGCTTCCTAGAGCAGGAGCCTCTTCACACAGACCCGAAGAAAGAGCACACAGCCCTGCAAGGTGACTGTGGTAACAGTAGAGAGAATTCAAGGCAGAGGACACAGCAGGTGCAAAGGCGTGGTGGTCAGGCCTTCCCGGGAAACACAGGGAGGTGAAGGGTGACCTCCAGGGCCTCAGGCAGTCACCTTGGCCGCCCCCTGCCTCAAGTCAGGAGCTTCCTATCACATCAGACCCACCCTCCTCTCTCACCTTCGGAGACTCACCCTTCCCTCCTGGGAGGTGATGCCTGAGATATAGCCTCCATCTTCCCTGTTGCAGCCACAGCCCCCTTTCAAAGGATCTGGGCGGTGCTGTTAGGCACGGTGTGTGGGAGGAGAGCTCGGGCAGCACAGGGGGAACATCCAGTAACCTTCATGGCTCCAGAGCAGCGGGGAGGAGTGAAGGTAACTCTCGGGCCGACTCTCAGGCCATGTCTGGGCGGGCATGGCATCCGCACAGTGAACAATGTGTCACGGCATCCCTCTGGTTGCAAAGCTCTGTCCTGCCTGCCCAAGGTGCTGGCAGAGGTCGAGAGATGGACGAAGTGACACAAGAGAGGACTGTTGTGTTTGTGTCTACCTATCCCCACACTCGTGATTGCACATATGTGTGTGTGACTGTGTTTAAATAAGGGCTGTGAGTGTGTGCCTGGAGGAGTCCTGTGTGTGTGTTTGTGCCTCTGAGGGTACATGTGGGCAGGGGACAGGTTCTGGGTTGATGACTGAGCAGTTGCCCTGGCTGGGATGTGTCTAGACGGGTCTCGGTGTGCGTTGGTGTGTTGGTGTTTGTATCTGTGGGGAATGTGTGCATGGAGGTGTCTGTCTCTGTGTGTCTGGATGTGTGTTTGTGGCTTAGACTAACCTTGGCCTCCAGTGCGCTCCCCGTGAGGGTGGGGGTGGGAATGCGGGCATGCCTGAGTCCATGGCTCTGTGAGTGTGCGTACATGGACTTCATGTGTCTGCCCACACAGAGATGACTCATCTGATCTCCCACATTAATCCCTCCATCTACAGCAGCTCGACTGTTTGCTATGTGGGGGTTGGGGAGGGGCTGCAGGGCATGGGAGATGGGAGGCGGATGGTGCAGGACACTCTAACGACCAGCCGCAGCAAATGAGGTGCAACTGGGATGCAAAAGGTGTGGCCCAAGTGTGTCTGCGTGGGCTGAGGGCGCCAACTGAGCCCAGCACAGCCCGGGCTTAGAACCCAGTCCCTAGTTCAGAGCTCCACGGTTTATGCACCCTGGGCTGGAGTGAGCAAGGGGCTCCCTAGGTCCCCCCAAATCTTTACGCATGGGGTGCTCATGTCTGTGTGGGGAAGGAGTCATGGCTGAGAACCCACCCTCTCACCTGCAACATCCACTTTTACAGAAACAACCCTACTTCTCCTTAAGGGGGAACCCCGTTGCCAAACCCTTCCTTCACCCCTTGGTACCAGAGACGGCTGTTCCCCTGGACAAAGGATCATGAAGGAGCCCTTCTACCCCGAGGCAGCGGATCCTTCCTCCTCCCCTATCAGACACGGGCCAGGCTCTGTGTCCCCAGGTCCCTCTGGTCCTGAGCCTGGCTCCTGCAGCCATGGCCTGAGGGTGAGGTAGGCCAGGAATTCGGCCTGGACAGCAGGAGGGAGAGAACCCAGGTGTATGCTCGGAGGAGCCTGGAGCCCTGGGGCGGGGGAGGGGCAGTGATGCTATGGAAGACCCACTGGGAGCCGGGGTGTTTTGGTCCTTGGGCCCAACAGCACCGGCCTCTGGGTCCATGGAGGGATCCAGGAACCGCACGTCCTCCATCTCCAGGCCGGCTCCTCCTCCACCCAGGGAGGTTTGCCAGAGCTGCCTGTCACCCGGTGGCCACATGACCTCTTGTTGATCTCATCCTGAGCCTCTGAGCCACAGATCCCTGTCACATCCATCTTCGAGTGTCAGCCCCACACTGGCCCCAGGTACGATCCCCTCTTCCTCCCAATTCCACTGTGACTTACAGTAACCTCTGTCTGGCTAGGACTAGAGTAATTGAAATGTAATTGGGTTTTCAACTTGCTAATGCTGCCACAGGCCTGGCATGTGGAGGGGAAGTCCCTGGGCAGGGCAGAGGTGCTTTTCGGAGGAACAGAGATGGAGAACAGGTAGCAGTGTTGGGGGGATGAGGGGGGAGGGAGGGCCAGCAGTGCCTGGGCTACGGGCCTGGAAAGGGGGATTCTGAGGGGCAAGAGGGAAGGGGCTGAAGACAGCAGTCTTCTGTATGTTCACCCCATCAGACCTTCACTCAGCAAACACTGGCAGGTGGGTTGCAGAGATGGGGGCCCTGCTGGTTAGGCTGGGAGACCCCAAGTAAGCAATTAGCTTGGGGTGGATATGAAATGCATTAGGATGGGAGCCTGTGGAGCCCGGGCAGGGGGCGGGGAGCAGGTTGGGACTGAGACCAACAATGATAGTGCATGTGAACCCAAAGGAAAAACAAGCCAATCGCTCCTGTCTGTTAATCTGGTGTTGAAAGGAGGTCAGGGGCATAGGCTTTGGGGCCGGAAAGGCCTGGGTTAGACTCCCGGCTCTGCTGCTTCCTGCCGTGTATGATCTTGGACTGGTCACTTCCCTTCTGTGATGGGCTGGGGAACGGCCCCCAAGGATATCTACATCCTGTGAATATGTGGCATGGCCAACAGGCCTGTGCAGATGTGACCAAGTTAAAAATCTTGAGGTGCAGAGATTATCCAGGGTCATCCCCGTGGGCCCATTGTCATCGTAGGGCCCTTGCAGGAGGAAGGCAGGAGGGTCCGAGAGAGGGGACGTGAGGGTGAAGCGCAGGCCGCAGTGATGCCAGTGCTGGAAGGGGCCACAAGCCCAGGGGTGTGGGCTCTTCTAGAAGCTGAAAAGACCAAGAGCAGATTCTGCCCCAGAGCCTCCAGAAGGCCTGCTGATTCCTTGATTTTAGGCTCATAATACTCATTTTAGACCTCAGACCTCCGAGAGTGTAAGAGAAGAAAATTGTGTCGTTGGAAGCCACTAGGTCTGTGAGAATCTGTTAACAGCAGCCACGAGGCTCTTGTGCAGCCCCTCTGTGCCTCCTCTCACTGGTTCTAAGACAGGACCCGCAGGAGCCTCTGCCCTGCTGAGTCGGGCGAGGGTTCATGCAGACGGCGGGTGTGCAGAGCAGCAGGTGCTGGGCGCCAGCGAGGCAGACGCTCACACGTCCGCACACATGCTGTCGTAAAAACCATTAATACCCTTTCAAAATTAGAGTGGTCGCCCTGGCTGGTATAGCTCAGTGGCTTGAGCGCAGGTCTGCGAACCAGAGTCCCAGTCAGGGCACATGCCTGGGAAGCAGGCCACTTCCCAGCAGGGGGTGCACTAGAGGCAACCATACATTGATGTTTCTCTCCCTCTCTCCTTCCTCTCTAAACATAAATAAATAAATAAATATTTTTTAAAATGTTAAAAAAAAATTAGCGTGGTCATATCGTGGGAAGAACCAGGACTTTGTCAGACATCCTTATGTTTATCTTGTCATTTGGTATTGCCTTTATTTTGAGTTTATAAGGTAAAGATCTAAATCGTAAAATAATAAGTAATATTACTAATAAATGATGATGTGGTCTAATTATTTTGAAACAGAAGCACCCAGGTGGAAAGAAAAGAAGGAGAGACTTGATTTTCCTGGGAGGGGTATGTGTACGCTGGTGGGTTTATGACTATGACCTGGATCACCAGACATCTGAGGAAAATCTTCAATAGGACAAAGACCGAGATAAGCAGAACAAAAGTTCCAGAGGCAACTTGCGCTGGGTTTTGAGGGATGAATAGGAGTTCGCAGACAGGCTTTGAGTGACTCATGCTAGGCAGGAGTGGGAGAGGAAGAAAGGGTGGCATTCCGGGCATGGAATCCTGAGGGGGCAGCATGAGCAAAGGCTAGGGGTGGCTCTGGGGCCACAGTAAAGTCTATTTTGGCCTGAGGGTGCCCCCATGAAGAGGAGCAATGAGAAATAGGAAGATGGGTGAAGGGCTGGCCT